CCAGCTCTCTAGCCCAACACTGTCTTCCCAGGCAGGAGGAGCTGTGATCCCAACCCCTCACCTCTAGCTTAGCAAAATGTCAATTGTGCCTGTGCCATGGAGACACCTCAAGGTTGCTCTTCTCTCAGGGCTGAGGAAGGTTGCTCTTACTGACAGCAACTCCATGAAAACCAATGGCATCAAGTTGTTGTCAACATTTGATAATGTATAACAGCTTGTTTGAACATAGAAACTTGTGTTTTTCCCTCCCCTGGGCTATAAAGCTGGGGATAAGCCTAAGGCAGCTTCAAGTAGTGCAAACCACCACAATATCAGTCCTAAGGGATCTGTTTCCCTGCTGTGTCCTCCTCACCCTAACATAAGCTTTTATTTTTCTGTGTAGACAAGTGACAAGACTATCCTGTATTCTGTGGCTTCTGCACTGGTGAACTGTACCAACAGCTATGACACCAAGGAGCTGGTCCCAGAACTGGTGCAACTGGCAAAATTCTCCAAGCAGCACGTGCCTGAGGAGCATCCGAAGGTAGGTTGTCTGCAGCTGGGGAGCTGGGAGGAGATGCTCAGGTCTGAAGACTTTCTTTGGTGTATCCATTGTCACAGTCGTCAGGTCTTCTGTCTCTGAGGCTGGAATTGCTTTGCTCTCCAGCCAGGCTTGGAAGTAGTCAGTGGGATGGCAGCTGCTAAGGGAGGGGCAGGCTAATCCCTTTCCAATGTCCCCTCCCTTCAGGACAAGAAGGACTTTGTGGTGAAGCGGGTGAAGCGGTTGCTTAAAGCCGGCGTCGTCTCTGCCTTGGCCTGCATGGTGAAGGCAGACAGTGCCATACTGACGGACCAGAGCAAGGAGCTCATCGCCAGGTGCCTTCATTGCTGTCATGGGAGCTGGGAGTGCTGGCCAGCCCACGTGCCACGGGGATGGGCGCCTGGGCTGGATCTTTGCTTTGTGGGGTGGCGCATTCTGCCTATGGGGGTGAGATGCAAGGAAGGTGGAGAAAAGATTTAAAACCAAAGTTTTCCTTAATGTCGTAAAAATTCACCTTCTGACCTTGAAGCTGGCTTGTAGGGATGCCTTGCTAGGGTGTATTTTGAATTTCTAGTCCTCTGTACTGGTTTTGGCTGGAATAGAGTTCATCTTCAGGCCTGGAAACTTCTTACTGTGTCATTTGGTGCTTCCTCCTAGGGTGCTGTGGGCACTGGGTTAAACATCTGGAATTTCCCCAGTGGATCTGGCACCCCTGCAAAGCCGTAGCCCCCTTCCATGGTGTGGGTTATTGCCTTCCTGCCTGGCTGTTTCGCTAAGTGACGTTGTGCTTCTGCAGGGTGTTCCTTGCCTTGTGTGAAGACCCCAAGGACCGCGGGACCATTGTCGCTCAAGGTGGTGGAAAGGTGATTACTTCTCTGATTGCAGCCCAACCTGATGTGCATTTAATACCTGTTGGGAGCCTGTGATGTGTCTACAGCGAGGGAACGTGGCACAAAAACATGAGCTGTCTTGGTGGCCCCTGGGGCCCAGACTGATGCTCCAGTTGTGTCTCTGCAAGCCTCCAATGAAGCAATCGTCTCAAAACAGCCATGTGTGAGCTACAAGCTCTGGTGTCGTGCCTATTTGAGAACAAAAGCACAAGGCATCATGGTGGGCTACAGTCCAGACACATTTCTTCAATGACATATCTTTAGGATATTTTTAATTTATTTTAGTATATTAAGGCTATCCCATAAATCTTCTTAGAGTCATCAAATGCTTTCCTGTGTGTCACTAGGCCCTCATACCTCTGGCTGTGGAAGGCACAGATGTTGGCAAGATAAAGGCTTCTCACGCTCTGGCAAAAATTGCTGCTATCTCCAATCCAGACATTGCATTCCCAGGGGAGAGGGTAAGCTTAGAAAAAAAAATAAATTAAAAAAAAAAAAGCCTTGATGATTCCTTTATCAAATGAAAATTGCCAAGATCTGAGAGCTGGAAAAGCAGTGACGTGCCTTCTCTTCTTAGGTGTATGAGGTGGTAAGGCCCCTTGTCAGCCTGCTGAACACCGAGAGAGATGGCCTCCAGAATTACGAGGCTCTGTTAGGTCTCACTAACTTTTCAGGAAGAAGTGATAAACTTAGGTGAGTTTAACTGCTTTTGGACCTTCTTTCTTTCCCAGGAGTGAATGTGAATTTGTTTAACGCTATGAAGACTGGTCAGTTTGAGCCACCTTTGGCAGAGCTACAAAAGTCTCAGAACTAAAAGATTAATAAAATAACCAGGAAGAGGCGAGTGGTGCATTTTCCTTTAGAAAGAGGAAAGACATGAAGCTAATCTACATTAGGGAATAAACCATGTGTCATGAGCTCCAGTGCTGCAGACACTGATTTGTTTCAAGTTTTATTTCCCTGTCCCAGTTAATATTTCATAGGCTGGTTATTGCTTGTCCCATGATGTTATTTTATTTGACTGCTCTTTCACGCAGGTTGAAGATAGTCAAAGAGAAGGCCCTGCCAGATATTGAAAACTACATGTTTGAGAATCATGACCAACTTCGACAGGCAGCCACAGAGTGCATGTGCAACCTGGTGGTCAACAAGGAGGTAACACACTGGGCATCTCAGACCTGACTGCATGCACCAGGCTGTGAGCCCCTGTGATGAGACATTCCTAAGTGTGTTATCTCTGGATATCATGGGGTTGGGGTTTTTTTTAGGTTCAAGAGCGGTTTGTGGCTGATGGAAATGACCGGCTGAAGTTGGTGGTGTTACTGTGTGGTGAGGATGATGAGAAAGTCCAGGTTGCAGCGGCAGGAGCCCTGGCCATGCTTACAGCAGCACAAAAGAAACTCTGCTCCAAGATGACTGAAGTGGTAAGGCCATAAGTCTGATTATTGGCAGTGCAGACATACCCTTGAGGGCCCCTTGTGACTGAGCCTCTCAAAAAGATGATGTTTGATACTGAGGAGCTTAGTGGTAGAGCTGAGACCTGGGTGTGCATGCTCCTAGTCCATCCCTGCACAAAGTAGACCAGCCTGCCTTCTACTAGGCTTCATCTCAGAGCTGAAACATTCACAGAATCATAGAATCATTGAGGTTGGAAGAGACCCTTGGGATCATTGAGTCCAACCATCTACCCTACTCTACAAGTCCTCCCCTACACCATATCCCTCAGTACTGCATCTAAACGAATCCACAAGCTTAAGTCCAGGATGTCAAGCAAGGTTAGGAATGTAGAATATTATTCTACAATCTGATATCCAAATTTTGTTTCAGTCAGAAAAGAGAAGATCTTGATAGATAACCTATTGAGGCTTTCAGATCCCCAAGCATCTCCAGTCCCTGCACAGATCTGCAGGTGCTGATAACTCAGACCATGCACAGCTGAGTCTCTGTGAAGAGTTGTGGTTGAGAACTCGTGACCCCTGTTGCATTACACACATGCTGATGTTGGACACTGGGGCTTGTTAGAATAAAAATAATTAGTGAAGCTAAAGGAGGGGCTCAGGGAAATCAGTGCGGGGGGAGTGGGTGGCCTGCTTCTGGTCATCTCAGCTGTGTCAATATTCTGATCAGGTTGTCTGCACAGAGATGATGCAGCAGCCTAAACATGAAATATGTTTCATATGGTGCTAGTGCCATGAAAGCTTCTGATTTTAAGTGTAACAAAAATTGGGTTCAAAAGCTTGGAGTCAGGTTTCCTTAGCTAAAGAACCAAATAACCAGTACCTGAGTATGAAGAGATGAGTCCTTGTGCTTCCTTCTGGTGAGAAACGCCTTGTCAAACTCGTGTTCTCGGTTGAGGTGTCCTTCAGATCAGTACTGATGGTCTCCTCTCTCCCTTGAAGACCACCCAGTGGCTTGAAATCCTGCAGCGGCTCTGCTTGCATGATAACATGGAGGTGCAGCACCGAGGACTGGTCATCGCTTTCAACTTAATCAGCGCGGACAAAGAGCTAGCAAAGAAGCTGGTGGAGACAGAGCTTCTGGAGATCCTGACCTACGTTGGCAAGCAAGAAGATGACCCCAAGAAGCAGCACATCATTAACGTAGCACGTGATTGCCTCACAAGGTGCATGGATTACGGGCTGATCAAACCTCTCTCTCGGGCGTGAGGAAATAAAAAGCACCAAAAAAGGCTGGATGTTGGAGGGGAAAAAGCTACTGAGAAATGTGGAAAAGGGAGAGCCACGAGGAAAATCTAGTGCCACTGCCAAGGCATAGAATAGTTTGGGGGACAACTTTGGAGGATCAGAAAGTGTGTGAAGATAAGGGGGGACATTTGCCTGGGAAATTTGGGAAGGAAGTGTCCATCTGAGTAATTCCCAGATGGTGTAAATCCTTTCTTTGCCCCTATTCAGCGGATAAAGATGAAAGCTCCAAGGCCCAGCAGTAAAAGTCGCAGTTGTGTTGGAAATGGGCCAGGGGCTGTTGGAAAGAAACTCAATTGTGCTGAAATCTGTTGTGCAACCATCTACAGCTCCTGGCACTTCTGGACTTCCTAGCGATGGTGGGACAGGGAAGCTTAAACGCCTTTTATGCTGTAATCAGAAAACAGGCTGGGTTTTAGCTGTGTGCTTTTTTTGTGGTATTTTTAAACTGTCTTCGGTGGTGTGCCCAAGTGTGAGGATGGTGGGATGAATTAATAAATTCACTACTTTGTTCCATGTGGAATTCCTGTCCTGCTTTTACCCAGCAAGTGGAGAATCTAAGACAACTCCCACTTGGAGCCTTGCATCGTACCTAGGAAGCTGGAGGAAGCGGTAGCACAGGTTGAATTTTCACCACTTGCAAACTGTCCAGTGCTGCTGAAATGAAGCTGCAAAGCCACTGTGAAAGGCTGTGTGAGGAGGTGGCACCAATGGGCTAAGGTGAGGTTCACACCAGGGCACGGTGTTTGGTTCAACAGGGAACGCTGAAAATGTCTCATTTATGGAAGAAGTGGAATGAGAAGCAAACACCAGTTGGTTATCACATTAAATTTTCTTATATTAAATGCTTATATTTGATCACAGATTATTTATGCAAGCTATGGATGACACAAAAAAATCACAGAATTAGGGGAAATGAAATCCAAGCATATAGTAAATATAATCTTACTCAGCAATTATTTAAATGTTAATTCAAGCGCGTTAAAATATTTCTGATTGGTACTAAAAGCCAGTGATTCTCACATGATAGGCACGGCATGGTTAAGCATTGAGGTTTGGGGTTATGAAAGGAACCAAGTGCATAATCTTGTATATTGGCTAACAAAAAAAAAAAAAGATGTGAAAAGTGCCTCAAGCTTCCTGAAGTTAGAAAAGCAAGAAGTTTTAAGCTATAAGGTAAACTTACTTAGAGGGGGATTGCAGCTGGGTACAACGTCTTCTCCTTACTGTAACCGTGTTCAGTTAAATCACTGGTGCTTTATAATTGCACCAGGAGGGTATCAAACTGTTCTTCCAAATCAAACAAACCACAGGTCATTCTGTGGGGGAAAACAATATGGTTTGTTTTCAACCCATCTTCAACTTCAGACACTCAGTTTTAGGAATTTTGGATCCGTTTTTCAAAAGTACTTTGCGTCTAACTCTCTACAGAGGGTTTTATCTAACCAGCATATCTGAAACCAAGACAAAAAGGGCCATTGGTATCTAAGGGTGGTTATGCAAAGTTTTCCTTCTCTCACTGGTGCTCCTCACTGAAGCAACTGGGTTCCAATCCATACTGACTTGCTGAAATTGAGTGAGGAAGCTCCTGTAAAAGCCATTTCTTTGTACTTCTTAGCTAAAACATGGACAGAAGGCCTCATTTTCACTTTCCTAGATACCTGAATAGAGGCTGTCTTTTAAAAAATGGCTTCTGATGCTGGATGCCTATGCTATTTGTTTCTGAGCAGTATACGAGAGTGGGAGTGAGCTGGTGAAAGCCAGAAAGTCTTCCCACCTCCTGTCTTGGCACAGTGGCTTTGACTTGGCAACTCACCTGCCTGCGGTCAAAGGCTGAGCGTCAGGTTTAGCAAGTCCTTGTAAGGACCCTTTGGGGAATGATGTCATTCTGCTGACATTCAAAGTATCTCTTCTCTCTGCATTACTGAAACCTTACATTTGATTTTAAACAGACTATAGAAGCTTCCCAAGAATGTCTGGGCTTTTAGAGAGGACCGTTATGAAGGAAATCGTTCTACTTCAGATACAGAGTAAAAAAAATTTCAAATATACATAATCGTCAACCTATCAGGGCCTTGTTGGGATCCTACATGGTTACCTATTCTCAGTTATCAATTAACAAGTGTAGATTTAAATTAGCTCTGGATGCTACACAGACGAATATATTGCCTAAAATTTTTTCCTGAAATGGAAAGGATTGAGGAATAATTCCAAACACAATGCTTCTTTCTAAGCCGGAGAAACGACGGACGCTGTCAAGAATAGCTTTCTCTTCTAGTCCTTCCTCTGTGTTTTTTAATGATATACTTGACCTTGACTTTGACTTCTTCATTTCTGATGCTAGTATTCCACTGTATGCTTTTACTTCTTCATCTCTGTAGCACAGAATAGCAATATCTTTCTCAGAGTAACCCTTTGTAAGATACATATGACAATGTTTTGCCACGTACTTTGCTATTTCATCTCTGTCTCTAAGTTTTGTTACTATTTCAATATGGCCTTTCACAGCATGAGTGCATGTGGTTCTGTGTAATAACTCTGCCAAACGTTCTTTGGGAATATTTAGGGTAGAGCGTTCTACAACTGTTTGCATTTTTTGTTTTAGATAGCTATAGATATCTTTAGCATTACGAACCACTTTGGTTAGTGACTCGATGGGATCATGCCATTTTGCTTCTGGAAGACCAGTTGGGAAGCAGTGACTTGTCTGTAAGTAGTCCAAGAAAATCCAGAAAAAGCCAGGCTCAGGGAGATTTGGTGATGAAGTTAGAGCCAAGGCTTTCTTGTACCAATCACCTTCTCCATCTTGGAAATTCTGTGCTTCGTCAATTATTATGTGCTTCACGTAATCAAACTTTCTCTTCAAAAAGGATACTCTTGTCACAGCCTGGCAAATGTTCTTCTTCCTATGGAAGAGATACAAGTAGGTTAAAAACAATCTCTGCATTTCAAACTACTGGTTATACTTGATCAGAGCAAAGTGAACACCCATGATATTAAAGTCGTATCTATGAATAGATGCTCAGGATGTCAAGAAAAGAATTTGAGCCTTACTAAAAAATGCATCCCAACTACATACTTCAAAGCCTGCAATGATGGTGGACACTAATCAGTACTCTGCCGTTTGAAAATGCTGGTTAAATAACAGGATATTGTATTGAATAGTTGGAAGAGGAAATGCTTACGAGACAAAATCTCTCAGAGGCTTGTTCTCGCATACATAAAGAACTTCCTCTTGTTTGCACTGCAGCATACTTCTTATTTTCTCTATGATCTTCAGGGCCATTACAGTTTTTCCTGTTCCTGGGAGTCCATAAATGTACAGCTTCTTAGTTTTGTGAAGATTTTCTGACAGCAGCTGGTATTGTTTGATGGTCAAGAGGTTCAAAAACTCAGAACCAATACGGTCACTTAAAAAGGACTTGAAACTCAGCAGAACTACTGTGAGAGCATGTAAGAGGGCCCTGAAGTTGTTCCTCTTGATTAGGCCGTAGTTTTGGGGATACATTTCTTGAATATTCAGATCCCATTCTTTTCCACAGTTAATTTTGGGAGGCAAAATCAGCAGCTTTGGTATTACACACAATTTGTGAATATAGCCCCCAGTGTTGACTAATTTTTCCTTCAGCCTCCAGGCTATGCGTCTTGAGTATTCAAACAAATCCCGTGAGATGTGATGCTCACAGACTGTATAGAGGATGGGTGGCCTGTCCTTGGCTATTAGGAGAACATCACAAATTATGTCGTGCTTTTCTGGCAAGTCAACTTCAACAGCCCAGCTTCTGGAAAATATCAGAACTCCCTCAGAAAGCTGCTTCAATTGATTTTCTATTAAAATATCCAACCTGGGATGCTCTTGGAAGAGGTCTTTGCTGAGTTTTTCCGGAGTATATATTATTCTGTAGGATTTCACTAACAAAGCAAAGCAGAAGAAACAGCTAGTGTTAGTACAAGACATGGAAACCCAGCCCTCTGAAATCATTCTGTGGGAACTGATATTGCTGAAAGGCTACAAATACAGATTATAGCTGCCTGAAATACTTTAGTTTACTTCTTCAAAATGTTCCTTAACCACTCCATGTGTTTCTAGATTCTTTTGCAAAGACTGCTTCCTCAGGGGACTCAATCCTCATCTCCTGCCCGGGTCTCAGTCCCTTTGCTAAAAATGCCAGTACAGGACTAACGTCAACCCTGTCAAAAATGCCAGCCCTGTTCTGGAGACCTGGCGAGTAAGCAAAGAAACAATAACAGATCAATAGAAAAGCCCCAGGACACCTGGCTGATCGTGCAGTGCCACAGAAATGTTGGACTGTAACAAGCAGCAGACTGTCCGCTCAGGGCCCAGCCCCAGTCACTTCAGATATTTACATGGGGCTGATTCCAAGTGACCTTCTCCTCCCCTATTTCCCACTTTTCCCTGGATTGTGAAAAGACATTGATATGGCTGTGATTGGTCCCCAGAGGCGTTCATCTAGCTAAGTTCCATGATGTACATGTGTACATCTGGTAGAAGATCAGTCCTTGGAGAAGGGGGTCATCAGGAATTTAAATGCAATGCTGCTGTTAGATCTGCAAATGATTTCCATCTTTTACACCTGCTTAAAGAATGTCTTCAAACTCATCTTTGACCTTGCCCCTGCCCTTGAGATTCACGTTGTAAACCCACCAGACAGTCAAAGTAATGCGCAGACCTACCTGGAAACAGCTGCATGCAAAGGTCATCAACATTGTCGAGGCCCTGGTGTGAATAAACTGGCTTGGCAAGAGGGGGCCCATTTTCCAGACTGAGCTCTAGCGTAAAGGTCTCAGAAAACTGTGAAAGATCTGGAAAAAAAAGAAATAAAAACACATGAAACACCATAAGCATTTGCTGTCCCTCAGTGCAAGAGCCGCAAGCTATCCTCATGCTGGTTTTTGCTCTTCTTTAAAATAATAAGTACAATGCAGAGGCAGAAACCTTCCAACTCGTGTGGACAGCACCTGATGAGCAACAGAATGGGTTCAGGCCTTGGACCATGGAGCTGCTCTTGGTCTCCTTATCTCATTAGCTGCTGTTGTGACCTCTAACTCTGTTAGTGATACCCTTTTCACTGCCCAAGAATTGGCCAACAATTAATTTAGCTGTCTACAGCTGTCAGCTTATTAGACTGGCGGTAACAGTGGAGAACAGCCCTAAAAAAGCAGGAGGGAAAGTATAGATTAAGCCTGAAGGCAAATGGCAATTGCCATGGACTATGGCAATTATGTAAAAAACCACGTACACTGGGAGTATAACCTCAAAAGTGGTCACCTTGAGGCACAGAGAGGTCATGCTGCAAAAGCAGGCACTAACATTGGCATTAATAACCTGCTAGGCACCAGGACCTGCTGCAGCCTGAAACAAGTGTTAAAGAACATAAACAGCAGAAAGACAGGTATTTATCAAGGACCTGAAACAATCAAACTGGTTGGTTTAGTCAAGCACTCAAAGGACACTGAAAAGCAGGTAAGATTATCTAAGGCAAACAACACTCCCAGATCAGGAGCAAGAAAATAAAAGGAGATATTGAAAACGGAAAGGGATCGTCCTGGCTCTTTTGGACCTGGATCAGCAGCAGTCATCCACGCAGCCCACTCATGCGCTTTCAGTCTCCTCACGATGCTGCCTTCCACCAGCCACGAGTCCGGGTCTTCAGAAAACACGACACAAGTAAATGGCTGAATCTTCACAGCGCAGACGTAGCCGCAGTGATCTCCAGCCTCGTCGTAAACTTTGAAGATTTTGTGTTCGTAGCTTATGTTGTGTGTACGTCCGCTCCCGCAAAAATGGAAAAGGGTTAATTTGCTTTGAACGGAATTGATTATGTGACTTAATCTTTCAAGTTCCTCATCGTCACTGCTGAATCCCTGCACCCTGCCGTGATCATCCACGCCGATCCACAAATACCCGCCGGTTGTGTTTGCAAATCCAGGGATGTACTGAGATAATATCTTTTCGACACGAGTCAATTTTTTTTCAGTTGGATAGTGCTTAAATTCCACATTTCCTGACTCAGTGAAAGTCAATGTCTCCCCATGTTGTAGTTGGTCCCTACCAAACAACTCCGCAACAGTGTTATCCATGTCTCCTTCAACAGCCCTTGTTATCCTTTTTTTAGCACGCGGTCCTGGGCTAAGCTCTCTCCTGACTTCATCTTGCTTTTCTTTAAGGAACGAAAAAGCTTCAGTAGGATTCATGTGAGAAAGAAAAGCACCACATTTTGCATGTAACCCAGTGCTCAGGCTGCACAGACGTGGGTTTGCAGAGCTTAAGGATGGGTTTTCATTACTCCAGGTTTTAATAAAAATCAAAATGTAATTATCTCGCTGTTCAAAGTCCAGGTATTTTCTCCAGTCTGGAAACAAAACAAGAGACCGAAAAGTCTCTTCTAAATCTAGTCCGATCTGATCTCTCTCTAAGTTGTAGCTTTCATTTTCAATCTCTGCTTTTACGATACCTCCTCCAGAGTTCAGCACGGCACACACAGCACGGGCAAGGGTGTATTTTTGATCTTGTTTTGAATCTTTTGGCATCTTTTTTCTTGCCTTTTCACCAAAACATATTTTTCCAACACACAAAACTACTTCAGGATACTCGGTTTCTAAATTAACCCAGACTTTCTGCAGTTGTTGATCCTCTTCAAAAGCCATTCTGAGCCTGAAACAATTGTAAAAAAATTGCTTACTATTTATGCTGAAACATCAATCTTCCAAAGACTGCCAAAAACATTAGCTAAACAGTGGCTGTCCTTTGAACAATAAATACACTGAGTCACAGATATGAGAGCAACAGGGATTTCCCTCCACTTCCAAAACAGGGTGCTTTCTAAAAACTCAAGTTTATGCCCAGATGTATATTTCTCCATCCTTGAGCATGAGGGCATGTAGGGACCATGCTGCCATCTGTCCCCTCTCTCCGACCACAGAAACAGCCTCAAATAGTTTCTCCACAGCCAGACTTGCTATTCCCTTCAACACCATCCCCATACATATTCCTGGACTGCATGCCCCCTCCTCCTCTCCTGTAATGACTCAGAAAAGGCTGTGCCAAGTCTCACCTCGATCTTAAGAATCCAGTAATCTTATTGATGAATAATGAATAAATAATAACAACTGACCCTTCTACTTTCAGCTCTATTTGGCCACCGTTGCTAGTAAAGCGGCTGAATCTTGGCTGATTGCTACTTAGCACTTAGACTGCTGGCAAATTCTTGGAAATGGTGCCGAACGGCATCTGCATCGCATTTAAGCCAATTCCTCAAAATGAAATCCAGCCCCCATGCTTCAGAACTTATCTGTGGTACAAAAGCACCTGGAAATAAAGGAAAGCGTGCCTCACCTGTGACAGAAGCGCAGCTTATTTCCACTAGCACAGATGTGCCTTCCGCGTGACCAAATATTACGTCCAAGAGCTGCAGGGCTCCCACGTGCTTATCCAGATCGGATATAGGAGATAAGTTTTCTGCCTTGTCTGCCTCTCCTCTGGGTTAGCTCTGCTGAGGAAAGTCGCTCTGCTCCTCGTAGCTTCGATTTATGGTACAGCTAAAGCAGCAAGAACGTTCGTGTGGGCTAATTCCTCTTCCAGATAGAGGAATTCTCCCATTCAATTCCACGAGCTCCCCTCTAGCTTCCTGCAATGCCTGGCTGACTGCTGGGATCACAGACTCCCCCGGGGAAAAGGGCTTTCCCTGCCCCTTCTTCTTAGCTCTGGGCCAAGACGTCAATATTTGAAATATCAATTTCAAATCCTTAAATATTTAAATATTTAAGAACGATGCACAGCAGAAATGGGAGTACAAAACATGCAGAGTGTGTTACCTGTTTCTTCCACTGGCCCCTCCTCCTAATAATACTTAACAGAAACGAAACATACTTTGTTGCTGGTTTCAGTTCTTCTCTGCCAGTTCCGTTTTCTTCTCTTCCCTGTTTCATGTGATGAAGTACCAGCATCCACAGACTCCACTGGATCTTTCTATCAAAAAAAAAGTTTTTGCTGGGAGCCCACTCCTCCAGGGCTGCAAAGTCACTCCCCTTGGCACTTTCCCAAAGGGTCAAAGTTCGTGCGAGGAAACAAAAAAAGAATAAAAATAGAAGCAATCCTGTGAGAAACACCGCTGAATCGGGTGCACCAAAAATAGATGCACGATGATCTTTTAGCTTTCAGCTATTTTATACCTTTATCCCGGCCGCTTGAGTTTCTGTCTCCCTTCTCGTTGGCTGAGAAGTTGGAGCTCACATTCTTCCCGACCGCTTGACCTATTACAGGTTTATTTTGCACTTTTTCCCATATAAGGCACACATACACCTATTCTACGAAATTATTATCCTAAACACACCTTTGATTAGTTGATTAAGCTACACGTTATTTCAGAGTCTTTGCTACCATCTACTTGGCAGATTTACCAGACGGGTTTCTCTGGTCTTATTGATACTCCCCTCCCCTCTGGTTTCTTGTGTTGAAGGCCATGTTCTAGTCTGTTTCTCTTCACCTAGATAACGCTCTGTGAACAAGGATCCCTTGACAGACTAAGGGCATTTCTGGGGATTAATTGGATACAATTTATTAGACTCTACTATTACTAAGGCTTCTTTGTTAGTACTATCACACTAACAATGATACATCAATTAGCTGAAGCAAAACTTAGCTTATTTCCCACACCCCCAACTTACAGCATTTATGTATGTCATTGTTTGTTTAGACTGAAAAGTTGGTCTTCTGTTACACTTCTAGAGCTGCAGTCAGGGATACCGTCTGGAAGCTGGGAAGCAGGACAGTGAGCTATAAAGTCCTGTGCAGAAGATAAACGCTTTGCATTATCTTCATTTGCAACACTTGCAAGATGAAATTCAATTTTCTTACCTTTTTGTACTGACAAAGCACACTGACACTAAGAATTTTACACTTAAATCATGCCCATATACAACTTTCAGCTGAAATAAAGTTATGGCTTAAAACTGTCTCATAACTTTTCCCCATGAAAGTGATCCATGCAAGGGGCCACTTTGGAGCATCCTCAGTGCCACCTCCCTCCATGGGGCAAAATTCTGGCAAAGGCACTGAGTTTGAGGAATAGTGAGGGGACTGAGAACAAGGGAGGATGCGGGCTTGATTGCAAAGCCTTGGGAAGCCTCGTGCAGCAGTGGATGAGTGTGTCCTAGGTATCCGCTCAACAAAGTTGCGTATTTTTTGAAGGGAGATGAGAGACAATGAAATAATGTGGGAAAAGAGCAAGGTAGTGCTTGGCTGTGGAAAATTGCTTGCAGAACAGGAAGGAAATAGAAACATTCTGCGAGCAGGATTACAGCTTCACGTACAGAGTGAAAATGCTTTTTAGCTTTTGATTCCATACCACATATAAATAGAGTCTCCTGCTGAGCCTCCTTGGCAAGAGCTGGTGTGTTATTTATTACAAAGCAGTTTTTTCCAGTTGAATTTTTCACAGTGCATACCAGAGGGTTAGTGAAGAATTCCCTGCATTCCTCGCAGACGACTCAGTGGGCTGTGCAGAGTCAGAATGAAACCCCGTGGTGCACGGATGGATTAAAAAGCTTTTATTTCTTGAATTTCGAGTCTCCCGACATTCTTAGTGTGTCGCGGGGCTGTCATTGCCCCTCGGATTGGATCCTCCTCTTGATTCCACGCAGAAAGGCTCCAGCAAGGGCAGGGACCCCTCCCCAGGAAAACATGTGTGGCGCTGGAATTTCTTACAAACTGCTGCCCATCGAGAGGAACCAAGTTACTGCTTTAAACCTACAGGATGAATTTACCCACCTGGCTTTAAACAGGCAAGCGTTTTATTTTAACTGCTATATTAAATCATACTACTTTTCCTTCCAAAGCGCCTTCTATTCAACTGTTGGAATATTTTTATTTCTCCCACGATTTTTTTTTGTTGGCCTTTTCGTACTTTTTAACTGTAGTTGTTTTCACGGTGATACCACACTTGTCGCGCTGCCCCTCGGGCGTGGAGCCATCACTACACAACATGCAGCCCGCATGAGCCGGCCCTTCAAAGGCCGGATGGCGTTTTGAGGCAGTGATTTATCACCGCCTTCTGCCTCATGTCGGCAAGCCGTGTCGCTGAGGAAATGGAAAAAAGAAAGCTAAACAGCTCCGGCGCCAGTTTCGCCAGAGAAAGGCCTGACGGCTCACGCCTTTCGTCCCCTCCGGTCTCCTGGGGTCAGGGCGGGACGGGGGCGGGACGGGG